AGCCCCTCCCCCATCTCTCTCTCTCTCTCTAAGATAAATAAATCTTAAAAAAAAAAAAAAAGGAAAAAACAAAGTTCAAATCCAACATTTTCCTAAATTCCATGAACACAGGATCCTGTCTTCTCCCAGCACCTTGTCAATGTTCCCTGGAACCCACCTTCCCCAGGGCACACTTTGGGAAGGGTGGTGTCCAGCCCTGAGCTAAGCTATTCCAGGACATTCTGCCTCGGCATCCCTTCTGTGTGCCTGCTGGCTGGTAGGAGCCTGCGCTGGACACCCGCCCCTCCCTTGAGCACATGGCCTGGAGTCAGAAGCAAAGGCAAGTTCCTGGTGACTGCCCCAACCACCCTGTGAGCAAGTCTCCCCTGCCTCCCAGCACTTACATCCTTCACACACTCCTTAGTTAAGACCCCCATGGGGCTCACCATAACCCCACTCTTTTGGTTTAAAGTGGCCAGTCCGGCCCTGGCCCGGGAACTCCAGACTGCAGTAACGGCATGTGTCCGGGTCCGGCCTCTGTCTGCGCTCTGCCTTGACCTCCCCACGTGGTGGCTTGGGGCATGCGCTGCATTTCCTTACAGGACCTGTAAGTAGAAAACTTCTCTATTTCAGTTCTCTTGTGGTCCGTTGTTGAACAACTCACCGTCTGTGCTCAATTTAATAACTGTGCATTTAACAGTCCCGGTGTGGGCATACATGGGACACGGGCTCCCAGACGATCACATTCACAGCGGGAAGTGAGCCAGATGCAGTCACCCCGTGACTGTCTGACTTCACTCCTCGAGACCTCCCCTCCCCAGACAACCACCCGCTCCCCCTCCCCACCCCAATCCCCGCCTGCCTGTTGCTCCCCACCCCCCACCCCCGCACACACACACTAGAGGGTAGCTCAAGGGTCAGCACATTAAGCAATGTGTCCCCAGTGCTTCCTTGGCAGGGCCCCAGACAAATAGGATACACTCAGTAAACACGAGTAAGGAAGGAGGCGTCGACACAGTAGGACTGTGAAGTCTGGGGCTTTGGGTTTGGATCTCAGATCCACTGCCTTACAGACCGTGGGGAGGAATGAATGCCAACCCCACGGCCTCTGTGAGGACGAGCTGTGAGAGACAGGAGGTCAGCCTTGCCCCCAAGTGGGCGCTAAATACATCGTAGCAAGCGTGATTCTTACTACCACCACCACTCCGGGCTCCTGGGATCGGAAAGCCGCCCAAATTCACATGCCCAACATCTTCGTCTTTGCCCTGGGTAAGCGGCTGCAGGACCGGCGTACCGTGAAGACCGCACGCAAGATACCCGAGAAGACAGGCCCCAGGCACCCACCTGACCAGTAGGGTCCCCTCCACATCCGTGTGTCCATCGAGGCTTCAGGACAGCAGACCCCAACACGTGCATGTATTCCTTCTCAGTGGAGACGGTCTGAGAGGATTCTGGGGCAGGAAGCTTCCCCTCTCGGGCGGCCATCAGACTCACCAGAAAAGCTCAGGAAGCAGGGTCCCGGGCATTGTGGCCACCTCGGCCTCCCTGTCACAATGCAGAATGTTGAGCCCAGAGTCGAAACCTCTGACCTCCAGAACCAAGTCTACGAGCTCCAGAGGAAACCGAGACGTGTTGGGTCTGTACACTGTGAAGACCAGGCACGAGAGAGGGCCCTCCCCTGGGTGTGGGGTGTACAAAGGACCATCACGCCCCCCCAACACACACCCACACCTCCTGCCAACTAGTCTCTGCGCAGCACGAAGACCTGGGGTTATCAGAGCTCCCAGGAGAAGCCAGAAATCGGGTGTTTGTATGTGATATGTTCCGACTTAAAATTCTGGCTCAAGATCAAGGAGACAAAGGGTACTGATAGGGGACCCCAAAACCTTAATTCCCCCTTTAAAGAAATTTCTTGTTGCCAGCTTTGAAGGAAAATGTGACAAACGGTGAGATAGTTGAAGCACAGCCCCCACCTCTCACGGTTCCCTTCGCTTTGTTCAGGGGGTTTTGTGTTCGGTGAGAACTTAATTCTCTTGAGTGGATGCTGAAGAGAGGACTGGGAACTGGAAGCCCAGTCACACTGCGTTTTGTTTTTGGCTTTTTTTTAATTAGCTGCTAACATTTAAAAAAATGAAGGGCTTCCCATTTTTTAAAAAAATCCTAAATCTGATCTCTCCTGGAAAATCAGGGGAGGGAACACAGGGCTCGTGCGGGCTGGGGGATCCCTCGTGTCCACCCCATCCCCGCCCAGCCCCAGGAATCTAAGCTTGCAGCTTGCAGCAGAACCTTTCAGGAGACCGGGCATCAGGTCGAGCACGTGGTAGGAGCCAGGAGACGCAGGGTCGGCCGCGGGAGAGCAGGGAACAGTCACTCCGTGAGAGGAAAAGCTGCTGAGGACTGTGGGGCTTCTTGGCTTCATTCTGCGGCTCTCTGCCCCACACCCAGGAGCCGTCCGGCAATGTCCAGACTCAACCAGATGCAGGGGCAGGTGCTGCTGTCATCGGTTGGGTGGGACGCCGCTCAACACCCTACGATCCACGGGACAGCCCCCACCGCCAAGAAAGGGCCCAGCCCCAATGTCGACAGTGCCGACGGCGAGAGGGCCTCACCGACCCTGTGCAGCCGTCAGCTCTCCACGGGCGTACCTCACCGGGGCTCACGCCTGAGGCAGCGTGTGCGCGCGGAACAAAGAAATATGGTGACATGAGTGAGCACACGGTCTCTTGGGATGGACAAACAGAACAGGCGTCTCGGATGGCAGGGCTGAGAAGGGCGCCGGGCGCACAGCAAACATGCCGAGGGAATGAATGAGGAGCCTGTGTCATTGGGACGTTGTGGGCCGGTGCGGTGTCCCTCCAGAGTCTGGGACTCGTCTTCCTGGAAAGCACCGGGACGACGACAGTGGTAATACTGGTAACTAAGGTGCGTTTGCCGAAGTGCACGGGCTGCATGAAACGAAGCAAGTGGGGACTCGGAGAAGAGAGAGCAGCGCTCCCAGGCAGAGCCCGGGCGCGACCCTGGGCCCCCTGACACCGCACTAAGCTCTCCAGGGAAGGGATGAACTGTCAGTGGATCAGCCTGAGGCACGCACAGATGCCCCCAGGGAGCCCTTCCAGTGGGACAGGCAACCTATTTGCAGAGGAACCCGAGGGTCAGAGTTGACTTGCGCAGGGTCACACAGCCCGCACGTGGCCGAGTGGAAACCGTCGCAGAATCTTTCTCGTCCTAGGTGTCCGCTCCCGCCAGACTGCCTGGGTTCGGGAGTAGAAGAGGCAGGCGGAGAGCGCGGCCCGTCCGCCTGCCAACCTCGGGCTCCCGCAGCTCCTCACCCTCCCGCCCCCCGCCCCACCCCTGTCCAAGGTCAGCGCTTCACAGAGGGGGCCCAGGGGCGTGCGCCAGGCAATGTTTTCTCAAGTCTTCACTTACGCGTGCCCTCTCCCACCAACAAGAGCATCACCCCTTCCCCCTTTAAAAGCAGTCTGAAATTTCACACGAAACTGAATCACGCTAACCAACCTCCCAGCAAGGAAATGCCACTTCAGACCATGCTTTTCCGACCTACAATCACAACCAGAGTCCAAAAGTTCCTCCCAGAAGTCAGGCTCCCACCCCCCAGGTGGCCATCCATGACCTTGGTTTTGAACACCTCATCCTCCAGAGGAGGACCCGAGGCCCCAGAGGAGCAGGGAGCGTGAGCTGCTCACAGACAGGGAACCACCAGGTGTCAGATTCCAGGCTCACACCGGAAATCTCACCTCCTCCCTCAACTCCCCGATGCCAGTAAACTCCTCCTCCCCTAGAGGTAAAAGGAACATGGAGTCGGTCCAACCATGGCCATTCAACACGATGAAAAACCCCTGGGCAGGGCCCTTTCTTCCCCAGGACAGCCCACTGCAGCCTCCCACAAACCCAGGGACGTGGGCACCCAGGACTCCGGCTGTAGGTCCCAGGAGACTGGAATCAGCATGGGGGGGTGGCTATCCTGATGAACGACCCCCTGGCAGGCCTCGCCTCACAGGATAGCTGCAAGGGTTCTCTAGGGCTGTGTCCATCAGGCACCGAGCACAGTGCCTGGCACACAGAAGTACCCCAAACCGTCAATATCCGTGTGTTCACCCCCCAAGTCCCACCCAGACCCCTGTAAGAAGACAACTACCCACCAAAGTCCCTCTTCCAGAGAAGGGAGGGAAATCAGAAGGGGAGATGAACCATGAGAGACTGTGGACTCTGAGAAACAATCTGAGAGTTTTGGAAGGAAGGGTGTGGGAAGTTGGGTGAGCCTGGTGGTGGGTATTAAGGAGGGCACAGATTGCAGGGGAGCACTGGGTGTGGTCCATAAACAATGATTTCTGCAGTCAAATGCTCTACCCCTGAGCTATACCCCCTAAACAATGAATTCTGGTACACTGAAAAGAAATTTAAAAAATTAAGAAACTCCAAACAAACAAAAAAACAAAATCCCTCTTCCTCCTCCACAGTATAGTTCTGTCCCTGCAGAGTAGTGGCCTGGTCAGGGACGCTTCCAGCCCTCGGAGCAGTGAGATGTGACACTGTGACTGCCCCCCCAATACACACACACTTTATGAGACGTGAGCAGGGGAAGACCATGTTTTCCAAGCAGCTGGATGCAGGAAGGGGCTTCAGGTGCGGGGGGAGGAAGCCACCATCGGGAGCATGGGCACGTCTGCCTGTAGAGAAAAGCTACCTGCCACAGCCCCGGAGTGAGAACGGCCTTGTTAATCCACTGAAGCCGTGGGGTCCTCCTGTAAGCTGTGGTAGGCAGGCCCAGTTCCTTCCCAGACCGATGAGCTCCTGTCTGGAAAGCCCACGGCCCACCGCAGGTGATGAGGTCCGGTCACTCTTCAGGACAGCCCAGTCTGCACCCCGGCCTGGGAGGGAACCGACTCCACAGCTGCCCCGCCTGCTGCTCTCCACTGGCCCAGCGCTGTGACGGCAGGTACCGGGCCTCCATGCCCACTCTCGCCCTTCTCCCTCCCCACTCAAGAACCACGCAGAGCAGGGACAATCGGATAGTGCCATTTATTGCCCCGCACCCTCCTGCCGCCGTGTCCAGGCCAGGGAACAGACCGGACCCCAGCTCCGCAGGGACGCGGGGACCAGGGGCTAGTCCCGCTCCAGCACTCCTCCCGGCCCAAACCCGGGGAGGGGAGGAAGGACGAGGGCCAAGAAAAACAACAGGACCCGCAGGGCAGAGACAAAATAAGGGCAGGACGCAGTCAGGAGCGGGCATGATTCAAAGAAAACTCTACAGGGGAAAGGACCCTCTTTCCCTTCCCCCCGCATGGCCCTTCTGACCCGGAAGGCTCCTCGCAAGCCCCGGGGGCGGAAGGGCAAGGGAAAGAGGGGCGGGGCACCGGTCGTCCAGTGGCGGGCTCCGGCGTCCCCGGGTCTACAGTTCTCACGCTCGGTCCCTCCCGGGCTCGCAGAGAACCAGAAGGGCAGGCCAGGCCGGGGCAGGGTGCAGGGCGGGGGCAGGAGGGCCCTAGCACCCCCGGCCGCCCGTGGCTCCACGCGGACCGCGGGGGCGGGGAAGGGGGAGAGGAGACCCGCCGCTGGTGGCGCCCCTCTGTCCGCCTCTCTCTGGTCTCCGGGTCCAGCGCCAGCGTCCCGGCCAAGCCCGAGGGGCCCTGCCCCCCCGGGCCTCCGCCCCTACCGGCCCTCCCCGCCGCGGCACTCGCTGCAGCGCCCGCCGGCAGCCTCGTCGTCGTCGTCGTCGTCGTCCCCGCCCGCCCGGTAGTAGCTCTGTCCGCAGCGGCTGCAGACCGACGGCGCGCCCACGGCGTGCACCTTCTTGTGTCTGCGCAGCGCTGCGCCCTGCACGAAGCCCTCGCCGCACTCCACGCAGATGTGAGCGGGCTCCTCGCCCCCCGCCGCCCCGAGCCCGTCCCCGTGCTGGGCGCGCTGGTGGGCCAGGAGCCCCGCCCCGTGCCCGAAGCCCTTCCCGCACTCCACGCACACATACGGCTTGGGGGCCGGGGCGCGCCGCGAGCGGGGCCCCGGCGCCTTGGCCCCCGCGCCCGCCATGGCTGCGGCCGCCGCGGACCCCTCGCCCGGCGCGCCCACCACGATGATGCCCTCGCCGTCGCCCACCGGGATGGCGATCTCGCCGTCCGCCGCCGCCGCCTCCTCGGGCGCCTTGGCCCGGCGCACGCTGGCCGCCAGCACCTTGGCCGCCACGCCGGGGCCCGACAGCTCGGGGTGCAGCCGCAGGTGGCGCGCCAGGCTCTTGGGCTGGCTGAAGCCGCGGCCGCAGCGCGGGCACACGAAGGGCTTGAGGCCGCTGTGCGAGCGCCGGTGCTTGGCCAGGCTCTTGCTCTGCGTGAAGCTGCGGCCGCAGTCGGGGCAGGCGTAGGGCTTCTCGCCCGTGTGGATGCGCTGGTGCTGCATGAGGTTGGAGCTCCAGCTGAAGCGCTTGCCGCACTCGGAGCAGGCGTACGGCTTCTCGCCCGTGTGGATGCGCCGGTGCTGCACCAGGTGCGAGCTCTGCGAGAAGGTCTTGCCGCAGTCGGCGCAGGCGTTGGGCCGCTCGCCCGTGTGCGTGCGCTGGTGCCGCGTCAGCTTGGACCAGTGGCTGAAGCTCTTGCCGCACTCGTTACAGATGTAGGGCGCCGGCGGCCGCGGCCGGGGCGGGGGGCCAGCCGGGGGCGCGGACTGGGGTGGGGACAGCTTGGTCGGGGGCCAGCTGGGGACGTCATCGTCATCCATGATGAGGATGTCCACTACAAGGCAAGAGGGTGGGAGGGGAGTCAGAGAAGCCCCGGCTCGACACAGGGCCCGTCCGGGAGCAAGGGTGGAGAGCGAGGGTCCGGAGCGAGGGCCGAGGCTCCCGCCGGCTGTGCCACCTGCCGCAGAGCACGCACAAAGCCTCGGGCAGCTCGTCACCTGCGCGCCTTCTCGGGGTGCCCTGTGGCACGGGAGGGCAGCTGGGCTGGGTCACCTCGAAACCCGCTGCACAGACCTGGCTCTCGGCAGATGCCCCGTCTCTCCACCTCCCTGCCCACCCTATTTTCCTCAGAGCATGGCTCGCTCCCTGGCATTTCACTGCACGTTCATGTCTTCCATTATCCACCCTCAAGACTTTTCCTTCCCAGCTGCCTCCCCCACACCGGAACAAGGCCTGGAACACTGCAGCGACTCCAGAAGTGGCTGGGAAGTAAACTGTCCACAGGGATTCAACAAGGATGGAAGTCTAGGCAATGATACCTGAAGCCCAAAGGGCCAGGCAGAGACAGGGAGGGTCCAGGGAGAGCGCCACTGGCAGGGGGAGAGCGCCCACACCCTGGCCCAGGAGCAAAGGCAAGCCCGGGAGTGAGGGCATCACACCTGGGCTCCAGGAAGACTATCCTGGTGCAGACTAAGAAGAAGGAGGAGCAGGGCTGGTTCATGGGATCACAGGCTAGCACGGGATCCCACCTGCCCTGGCACCTGGGAATGTGGCCCCCACATACCGGAGCCCCCGTCTGGCCCATGCAGACGACAGAGGAGCCTGGGGCCCTGGTCTGGCTGGCTGTATGGTGAGGACTCAAAGCCTGTCCGATGTCTGCACCACACGTGGCTTTGAGTAATGTCCCAGGGAAAGTGAAAGTGGGATCTCACAGCTCAGAGACTGACCCCCGTGCACCTGAAGCAAGGGCTCTCGCTCCCCGATCCGGTGAGTGGGGCCCGGGCCTCAGCCAGGACTCCTCCACGGTGCCCACCAGCCCAGCATGGCCCTCCATGAGTGCGCCCACAGCTTCCCTTCCAAGCATGCATCAGAAACACTGCTTCCCCGCTCCCTCCCTCCCAGACCCTGGGCTCCACGTGGCAGCCAGTCACACACCAGGCACAGGCTGGGCCCAGAGCACTCACACACGGACCCAGGGTAACACACACCCATGCAAAGAGCGCCACGATGTGCCGAGGTGGGCACTACCTCACCAGCCTCAAAGCGTCTACATCCGGTAAGGGCGGCACCACAGAGCTCGGGTCTTTACAGCACAGAATCAACCTGGAAAGCCTTGCTCCAGTCCCCCCACTTCTGCCCACTGCATGGGGTTCAGGGGGTTCCTCAGACCCCCTCCCTGCTGCCAGAGAGCAGCTGGGCCCGAAGGCCAGACCCTGCCCTTGCTCCAGGGCCATATGACAGCCCCAGTGCCTCGTTCCGTGGCGCTCGGCACTACTGGCCCAGAGCTGCTCGGTGGCAGGGGCAGCTGAAGGCTTCCCACGCGCTCCCCGTCCCCAGGGTCGGCTGCACGTGGCCATGGTAGGGTCCACGCTCGCTTCACCATGGGGTCCAGTTTTCGAGATAATGAACTGATTCTCTATCGTTCTCCAGTCTCCCCTTTCTGAGCATCGGGACGAACGCCTGCATTTACACGGATTGCGGGGGGGAGGGGGTCTCCAAGAAGCAGCACGGCGTCCTTCGGGCAGGACCCTGGTGGGCCCTGGCAGCTTCCCTGCTCCCCAGCCCCGTGGGATGCTCCTGGCGCATCCCCATGTCCTGTCTGCACCAGCAATCGCTGTTTCTCCAGGAGGCCCTGGTTCATCTGATGCAAAAGTACTTCCAGACTCAAAGCTGGGAGCGGTCACTGCTTTTTTTTTTTCTTACAGAAATATTCCACTGAGTTCATTCACACAGACGCTTCTTCCCAGACAGATCCGGATCTACAGGTTTTTCTTGAGTCTTTTCTCTGTGATGTCTGCATCCCCCTTCAGAGGGGAGAAGAGAATGCGAATAGCCTGTAATTATTCATTTGCTGACCCCAAGGTAGTGCTGAGATAACCACCCTATTACCACCGATGACAATTTCTTGAAAACACAAAACACAGCTTTGTGTGCGCTACTCCTGACCCAGCGAACCTCCCGCAGCTCTCCTGAGACCCAACCCCGCTCACTGCCTGCCTCTCTCCAGCCGGCGGCGGTTCGAGGCTCGCCTGCTAAGATCCCTTGGAAGGGCCCAGGACCCTCGGACTGAGCTCCTGCTGTGCCCTTCCGACCTGTAGGTCAGTTTTGATGAGACCCCTGGCTCGCCTTTCCTTCTCCTGGGAATCAGAAATGTGGCCCCGTTGTCTTCTGGCATAAAGCCCTGCCCCTAGATGCCCCCAAGATTTCCTTCTTTCCTCACCATCCAGTGACCCGGACAGAACACGGCTCGTTCGTTTTGGTGACGCCCTTGGATTTGTGATTTGCTCTTTCAAGGCCTAACTTTTAGAATTCAGAAAGGTCCTCTTGGCTTGTAGTGTTCACTGTTTACTCTTTCTCTGCTTCGGATTTCTGCAAGGACCTCCCCATCCACACGCTGGGATTCTGACTTTTTTTTTAACTCCATTTTAACATTTCTTCATTTCTTTTTGATTTTTAAACATCCCTCCTTTTTACCTCCAACTTTTCTCAGGGAGTATGTTCTTTGTATTCCCTCCTGAGTTTTCTCCTTCATTTTTTGAAGGAATCAGACGCCTTCTGAAACGAATCTGCTCCTGTTCTCCGCTGAGCCCCGCACCCTTGCTTCTGAGCTGTTCCGAGTATGTGCTTCTCCCACCGGCTCTCACCTCTCTGGCCCGGCGGTGTGTCTCCAACTGACCCCTTATCTGGGGAGATGTTACCTGCTCCTTTTCTCTTTTATTCTGACAGCTCTGGGGTTGGGAGCACTTGTGTTAAGCTCAGTTTGTTCCTGTTGCTTTTTCTGTGCAGAAGGGTTACCCGACTCCCAAGCGGTGAGGTTCCCCTACTCTGGGGGGACAAGGTTCCCCAACTCCCAAGGGGCGAGGTCCTCCGAGCTCCCTCCTCTGATGTTCTCGTCGTAGCTGACAGTATGGGACAGTGCTGCAGGTTCCTAGCTCTGCAGCCCCCATTTTTATCTGTACCTCCTCCTTCCTTCCCCCTGTGGTCAAAGACATTGTCCCACTTGGTCTTGAGTTCCCTCCCGGAAGGTTTTGCTGAGTGGGTCCTGCTGTGGGCAGAACGTTCTCCGTGACTGGCAGCAGAGCCCACGGGTGGGCCCCAGGTCACGCCAGCCCCAGACCTTCCTGCGGCCCCGCTCCCAGTCTGGACAAAACACGTCCAATCTCAGCTGCAGGCCTCAGGGGGACCACCTCCCAAGCTTCCAGGGAGTCCCGGAGGGCTATCTGGGGCTCTTCCTTGCTTCCTTCCCTCCAGCACAGTGCCAACACCAGGCAGGCCTGTGGCCATTGGTCTGTCCCCAACCAACTGTATTCTGGGGTCACAGAGGCACCCACACACCTAAGGTGTGCTGTCATCAGCGTGGCTCAAGGAATCTGGGTTCTGCCACGTGGTTTTTCTGGGGAGGTTTGGGGGCTTTAAGGGCTGCCATCATCCCGGGCTGGACAGAGCATTCCCGGTGAGCCCTCCGGAATGACTCTAAGGCGCACTGCGACCGTGAGAGCCAGACCTCGGCAGAGGGAGGTCAGAACCCTGTCCCCCACGACAGGACTGCCAGGACACCAGCGCACTTCTTCCGTGTTGGGGGAGCTCCCGCCTCAGAATCACGGTGTCATTTCTATTTACGCAGTCATTTTGGACTGCTGCCCGTTCTGAATACCTGCGGCCAAACCCAGGACAGGCCTGCACGGCTCTCCCACCCCAGCGCCGTCCGGCCCCAGGCCTCGGACCACCCGCACCCGGACGGCCAGGCCGGGCCAGCAAAGGGGCCCCAGTCAGCAGGTGAGGAAGGGCTGCCCTCCCCCGGGGATGGTGCAGCAGACACCGGCTGTCCCCCCACCAGCTGCCCCCCCCGGCTGTCCCCCCACCAGCCGCACCGCCCGGCTGTCTGCCCCACCAGCTGCCCCCCCGCCGGCTGTCCAGTCCCCCCCACCCCCCACTCTGGGCGGGTGGCCCGGCCTCTCCGCTCTCCAGCACTCGGGCCGGCAAAGCCAGCGGCTGGAGAGGAGCACGGGACGGACAGGCCGAGCATCTAAAGCAGCAGCCGGCGTGAACAACGGCGTCCGCTCAGTCCGCATACCACTCCCCAAAACACCCAAATCCAGGGATGAAAATGAGAAAATTCTTGGGGTTTCACAAATGCCCTGGGCAGGTCCATGTAATGGAAAGGAGACCCCTGGGCTCTTTTCAGTCTCGTGTGCACAGAGCGGCAGGAGAGGCACCACCCAGGTGACCAGGTGTCTGCCCCCCGCAGCTGCGGGCTTCCAATGGGGTCACAGCCCAGCAGCAGGGGTCAGCTCAGGGAGGAGCAGGTCTGCGGTGACCCACACGGAACACGGTGGGAGGAGACGCGAACACAGCACCGGGGAGGCCGACGGGGAGGACTGATCCCAGACTCGCTGCCACCGCACGTGAACACACAAGGGGCTGGGCCGAGGGCACGTGCCGAACGACTCAGGCCCTGACGAAAGTCAGAAGACAGGCCGTGGACCCCCCTCTGCCATGTGTCTCAAGGTGCCTCCTTGTCATGGGGGGAGTCACCCGAGACACCCGAGGCAGGAAGACACCAGGTGGAGAGGCTCCGACTTGCGGGGACAGAGCGAGCTGGAACGGCCTTCAGACAACAGGCCTGCTGGAGCCCGCCAAGCCCACCTCCCCCCGGCATCCAAGGGGCCCTGAGGCCAAGCCTTCCCTGGGGAAGGGGCCTAAGGCCCACAACTGCCCCCAGCTCCTGGGCAGCCGCCTGCAGACCAAGACACGCTGGCTCTGGGCTCGGGGCTCCTGAGCTCCCGAGGAATGCCGTTCTCCCTGGGGTGACAATGCTCAGTCCCTCTTCCTCACCGGAAAATCCTGAGCTCAGGGCTGAGCTGCGATACGGCAGGCGCACCGATCGTGAAGCCACCTCCTCCACCATGCGTCCCCGACGCGGCCAGCCAGACCCATGTGGGGCTGCCGGGAAGAAAGGCCAGGGAGCCCCTCAGCATCTTCGGCAGGGCCCCGGGGGACGCGAAAGCCGGAGCTGAGGACCGGTGCAGGAGTGTGCGGCTGCCCGGCACAGCACACACAAGGCCGCCCAGAGCCTTCACCCAGCCTGGAACCAGCCTGCGGGCAGCCTGCTGTCCCGGACCGCTCCGCACCCTTCCGGTTAGAGCCGCGACCAGGATGGCTCTCGTCTCATCTCGCTGCCGCACCCCCTGTCTCAGTCTGCCCCCACGGCCTTGGCCCCACAATCCCCCACAACCCTATCCAGCCAGGGCCCAAACCTCCTGCAGTGGGCAGCCCCCTCCTTGGCAAAGCCTCCCTGCCCCCAAGATGAGCCTCTGGCGAGGCAGTCTCCACGGCCGTCCCCTCAACAACCACCACCAGCCTGTGGGCCCCACACGGGCAGGGACCTCGGCCTCAGGCACAGTGTCCCCAGCTCCTCCCCTGCAAAAGCGAGGACACAGGGCACAGCTTGCCTCCACCCTGCGGACTCCAGGCAAGGTGAGCAACGCAAGGTGTGGGATCACTCCCGGCAAGCCAGGACTCCGCGCCAGCCCAAGAAGCTAGGCTGGGGGGGCGCCTGGGTGGCTCAGTGGGTTAAAGCCTCTGCCTTCAGCTCAGGTCATGGTCTCAGGGTCCTGGGATCGAGCCTGGCGGGGAGCCTGCTTCCTCCTCTCTCTGTCTGCCTCTCTGCCTACTTGTGATCTCTATCAAATAAAATCTTTTAAAAAAAAAAAAAAAAACTCAGGCTGGGGGCTGTGGACAAGGGTGGACGCGAGGACTGGCTGGAGGCCACCGCAGGGTGGCAATCCAGGTGCCAGGTGGCGGTGGCAGCGGGGGCTGGGTGGGCTCCGTGGCCACATCCAGAATGTACACTATAAGTGGATCCTCAACAGGCCAGAAGTCAGATCAGAAGGGCCCAGGGAGCCCCCAGGGTCGGCCAGGCCATGAGGCTGCGACTCAGGGCTCTAACAGCACCTTCCACCTGCCCCCTTCAGACCTGGGCAAGGGAGGAGCCCACCCCACCTGCCTTCTCCCAGCTCCAACCCACCCTGGTCAGACCCACCACAGGTATCAGGCCGGGGTCTCAGGGCAGGAGTCTGGCCCAGTCACCCCACAAGAGGCCCCAGACCCAGGTGGGCAGGACTCCCCGGGGCAGGCCCACAACCACGGGACGCAGAGCCACTTAGAAGCATCCAGGCTCAAGGCCCATGAGCTGAGCACGGGGGTCACGGTGGCCGGCCCCGCGACAGGGGTGGGGGAGAACAGGCTCCGGGCTGCACAAGGGAGAGCAGAGAACCCACCAGACGTTCTGCAGGTTTCGTAAGGAGCACAAGTTAACAGAGGACTCGGAAGATTAAACCTGACTTACTCCACGGCAGAAGTTTGGAGAAAACTGGGGCTGTGACTCAGACTGCGTGTTTCGCTGGGTGAAGTAAGCACTTTGTAGCTGCGGTTTCGTGTTTGCTCTTAAAGAGCCCGCACCTGCTCGAGGACCTATGGGTGCAAAGACAGGACATCTGGGATGTTCTTTAAAATCTCCGGGGGGAGAAAAGGGCACAAATGGAGAAACGAGACTGGCCAGGAGGTTGGTAACCCTGAAGCTGAGTGCTAGCAGAGTCATGTACCTGAGCTCCAACGCCCCCATAACACACAGGCTTTTAAAGTAATTCTGCAAGGGCTAGAAGGCCGAGGACATGTGTCAGGGGAGGCAGAAGAAGCAGGCCCAGACAGGCACAGCGAGGAAGGACGGGCATGGTCCTCCCCATGGAGGGCTGCTGGGTCAGAGTGAGCACGGAGACCCCACCTCTGTTTCCTCCTTGGTAACCAAGGCCACCAGGACCTGCCTACAGGGAGCTTCTCTTTATGCTCCTCTGGGTGATCTTATAACGCGTGGGGGGAGGCCCAGAGGCTTTAAAAACCCTACCCCCGACCACGGTCCAGGCCCCGTGGCCCATCTCGCAGACGACTGTGGGATGCTGGCACCGGGGCCGAGACCCAGCGCCCGTTGTGAATGTAAAGTCCTACCAGCACGTGGCCGCGTCCACTCACTTCCATACTGGCTGCCTTCCCGCTGCACGGGGCACGGGCTCTGCAAAGCCAAAAATCTCTCCCCTCTGGCCTCTGTGTAAAAAACACACCTGCTGACGCCGCGCCGGCATAACCGCCGGCACGAAAACACACGGGCAGCAGCATGAAAGCCAAGCCCGTGCTTTATTTCTCGGATGCCCTAGAGGAAAACCCCTGGAAACCAGAAAGCAGAGTCTCAGCAAGCAAACCCTGGGCCCCGAGTGCTCAGAGGTGAGTTTTATTCAACCCAAATAATGCTTTATTAAACACAACAGGATACCGATATTGAAAAAGTGGAAGATTTCCCCTAAAAACCCAGATACTCAGCTTTCCCCCCAAAACTGGCACACATCACACCCTCCTCTGTGGTCCTGTCACCCCAGCCCCACAATGCCCACCCTCCGTCTATAGCTTCTCACTTGAGAGACCTGCAGAGAACCTAGAAACAGGGCAGAGGGGCCAGGACACCGGGGAGCAAGGAGGCTGGGCTGCGAGGGTGGAGAGGACGGGCAGAAGGGGAGAAGCGGCCCCCAAGGGCGCCCGTACCCTCTGGAGGAAGGAGGCATCACTCCTGGGCCACGGGAGCAGAGGGGAAAGGAAGCCGGGGTCCAGGAGGGGTACTGAGCACTGCCCAAGGCCACCTCACCTGGGTTCTCGTGACTGGCCATCTGCTGGTCCTCGGAATCTAGCGGCCCCGGAGACCAGGCCTCTTCCCGCAGCTCCATGTCTGGGTCCCTGGAAGAAGGGGAGGAGACGGAAGGGCAGAGATCAGAGGACGCCAGAGTAGGAAGCCAGGCGCCACGTCGGCTCCAATCCGTGCTCGAGCTCCGAGCACCCAGCTCGGCCCAGGCAGGCAGCATAGGCAGCTGGTACCTGAGGGACAATGGAAAAACGGCCCGCATTGCCCCTGCGCAAGGGACCAGCCCAAGGCCACGCACCATCTGGGGGAGGAGGGAGCTCGGCGCTGCAGCCACCGGCCAGGCAGGAGTCCTGACTCCACCGCCCGCAGCTGGAGCCTGGGGAGACCAGCTCCTGCCTCAGCCTCCCTCCCCCCACCTCCCAGCACCCGGACCGCCACCAACACGCCGACCCGTCTCACGGGCCTGAGGTTTAAACAAGACGACGCACGGATGCGGCTCTAGCCCCAGAGTCCATCCCTGCCCATCGGCCCGGAATGGCGAGGCCGACATGGGCACCTGAGTGCTCTAGGGGGTTCATGCGCTCGGGTCTCCCAGCAACACTCTGTATGGGGGTCCTGGGGTAAGGCGCGAGCCTCTGGCATCTGCACTCAGAGGGGCGGCCGGACAATGCTGGCCTCGGGGGAGGGAGCGGCGGCCTCCATCGCTGAAGATTTACGGGATCTGGAGATTTCGGGAATCGGGACGCCATGTCACTGGGTGTCCTGCGCCTTCTCTCAGTGTAACGTTCGCAGGACTTGTCCGAATGTCCTTTTCACAGCTGGACGAGACTCCACCGTACGGACGGACCACATTCCACGTCGTCTGTCCACCGGCCGACGCGGACGGTGTCTGGGCTGTTCCACCTCGGGGCTGAGGAGCAAAGCCGCTGGAGACGTCTGAACGCACATACCGTGTGGACGTGTCTTCATCTCTCCACCGCCCACCCCACGCAGTGGGCCTTGCCGAGGAGAAATCGCTCCCCTCCTTCTTTACTGGCCTCGAGGGTCAGGTTCTCACCACTCACCGCCGCCAGGGGCAATGCCATGTGGCAGGGCCTGACTCCCGGGGCAGACAACCTAGGCCTCCCCTGCTGGGCAAGGAGCTGGCGGGCAGCACCCGGAGACCGGGACAGGCCCCCGGCCCCAGGTGGTCTCGTCCGTCCTGCACTGCAGCAGGGCCTGGCACCAGGGGTACCCGTCCCTTGCTGTGGCGCCACTCCCCGGGGACGGGGACCTCGTCCCCGAAGCTGAGTGCACGCAGCTCAGGGCAAACCCCGCCCCCCACACACACGGGACCTCTCTGCAGAGGAGCAGCTGCGCACGAGCACCCACCAACAGCAACCATCTGCCCCCACCACAATATGCCAGACCCACTTCTCTTGAATCCCCCACTGACAGGGGGCTCGCCACCATCCAGGCACCGAAAGGAACCCATTCCACTGCCAGGGGGCTCAAGCCTGTCCCCTCAGTAACCTCCGCTGATCTCTGAGAGGAGCTCTGAGAAGCCACCTGTCCAGTTCATAGACACTCGCAGGCATCTCCCAGGTCCAGGCCCAGTTCTACGCGCGTCACACGCCATTACCACATTCGGTCCCGCCCGAGCCCTCTGAGTGGGCCATGCTGCCGCCCAGCACGCAGAGGAGGAAGCTGAGCCACAAGTGGCCGAGACCTGGAGGCAGACGGCCCACGGAGAAGCGTGAACCCGGGCTGTCCGGGCCAGGTCCTCGCCAGACGAGTGCTCACTCACACAGCAGCGTCCCATGTGCCTCCCACGTGCCTCCCACGAGCCAAACCTGGACACCGGGGTCCCATTTTCCAGCCGCTGGCCCCAGCTCTGTGCCACCCTGCACTGCCGTGCTGTCAACAACCCCCTTCCCCACGTCACAGCAGAGGACGTGAGGTCACAGTGAGGTCATCGCGGAGCAGGGACAGGACACCAAAGGTGCCGCTGCAGACTCCTTGGTCCCAACTGCTCTGCCGTCCTGAAACCCAGCCAACCGTCAACAAGGATCGAGAGGAGCATGGGACACGGGCGAGGACAAAGGCAAGCCCGTCTCAGGGGCCAGGAGCCACGCTGGGGGGCCCTGAGCAGGGGCTGGCAAGTGGCTGCCTCGGAGGTGCTGCTGAAATGTGGACAGAAGGCAGGAGCCTGGCAGGAGGCCAGCAAGGGGCCCCTGGTCGGAGCCCGCAGGCAAAGGCCAGGCCTCTTCGGCCCCGGCCACTGATGACAGGGGGCCACCACGGGGTCGGGCCAGGTTGGCGAGGGAACACACACACAGGGGTGCCCTGCTCAGGTTCTGGCTCCACGCAGCATCACAGCGCCCACCGTGACACGGGACAGCTGCCCAAGGACCACAGGCCCCCTCCCCGCAGGGCCCTCATCAGACGAGATCTTCCCGTCGGCCTCACGGGAGCCAAGGCGAGAGCATCAGCAGTTCTGCGGGCGCTGGCATCTTTCCGCCCCCGTCCCCGTCACTCCCACCCCAGAGGCGCAGGGTCTCCCCACGGGCCAGGCGTCGCTCCGACACTGGACAGCGCCCTGGTGATCGGGCCACAGCCCCAGCCACATAAGGGGGCCCTACGAGTGAGAACAAGCGTCTGGACACGAAAGGCGAGTTCACCCAGTGAAGTTCCCTGAAGATATGCTCTGAGGGGGGGGCGGAGAGGGGAGGGGAGGGATGGCCCGCTGCACCAGGAGGTCGGAGGAGGATCTCCCAGGAGGAGGAGCCGCAGGAGCGGCCCTGCAGGAGGAGCAGGGAAGAGGGATGCAGGGACGCGTGTGCAAAGGCCCTGAGCAGAGGCTAGAGATGCAGGGGTGGGAGGGCTCTCTTGCAGGGCTTCGAGGCCGCACAGAGCATGAAGAGTGGGTGAAATGTGGGACCCTCTGAGGTCAGCGTCGTTACGACCCGTACTTCACAGACGAGGACACTGGGGTCACAGACATGGGGGCCGGTGCTGGAGGTCGCCAGCAGCAGCAGCAGCATGTGGACGGCGGCAGCGGGCAGCCCGGATGCTCCGGCACAGCGCTGGGCTCGGAGCCACGGGACGGTCGCCACACGGCTGCGGAGCCGCACGCAGGCGCTGGGGGCCCCCGACCAGGCAACCCCCTCTCCAGAAGCTGATCTGAGGGAAACCCAGACCTCAGAAAACGCTTCTTGCAGACAAAAAATAGTTCCTCACGGCCAGATTTAGAGCAGGGAAAAACGGGAGAGAACCCGTCAGCGCCACGTGGGAGAAAGCCCGAGAAAAGTCCCAGCGATGCCACAGTCTCGGGAGCAGCGGCTGTGAGCCGTCTGCTCCCGCAGCAGGAGCGCTCGTCCCTCTTCGCTTCTCATCTTCATCTCAACGTTTTAATTCTTTAGAACAAGCGATCGCTTCTGTAATAAGGGAAAAGACAAGACAGCTCTTTTCCGGAAGGCCGGAGGGCTGTGCATCGCGAGGGGAAAATCACTGGGTGTGGAGGGGGCAACGCGGGGATGCCGCTGCCCGGCGGTCAGGTCACACAGGGTGACCGTGACCATGAGGCCGCGCAAACCCCGCACACAGCCGCTGGGCGTGCAGGTCGGGGAAGCGGTCTGACGGCTCCTCCCGCAATAAACAGACCCACTTTGGGAGCCGGCGACTCCACTCCCACGTGCACACCCGAGACGTAAACCCAAACTCCGGTCCGGCCGCCCACATTCCCGGCAGTGCTATTCCCACGCAAACACGTGGAGGTGGGGAGAGCCAGTCTCCCAGGGCCACAGAGAGAGGCTTCCGCAGGATTCCGCAGCCGTCCAGGACAGAGCCGGGGGCGGCTGGGGGCTGGGGGCGGGAGTGGGGCGGGACTCTGCTAATGGGTCTGTGGCTTCAGTGGGAGCGATGAGAACACCCAGGAGCCAGATGGTGGTGACAGCCGTGAATGCATCAGAAACCGCTAACTTGTAGGCGCGAAAAGAAAGGATTGCACGACATGCAAATTAGACCTCAATTAAAAAGTAAACAGACTTTAGGGTTCCTGGGTGGCTCAGGCAGTTAAGCAACTGGTCGTGATCCCAGGGTCCTGGGATTGAGTCCCGCATCAGACTCCCTGCTTGGCGGGGAGCCTGCTTCTCCCTCTGCTTTCCTCTCTCCCTCTCTCTCTCAGGAATAAATAAATAAAAATCTTTAGGGAAAAAAAGTAAACAGGCTTTAAAAAATCGTACGGGGCTGTCTGATTACAAGGCCACAGAGAAAACGAGGTAAGACAGGATCGCCGTCTACTCGTTAGACCAAACACCCCTGCTCACGGACCACGCGACAGAGCCGGCTACATCTTCGCGGGAAACAAGGGGCGCCTGGGCAGCTCAGTCATTAAGTGTCCGACTTTAGCTCAGGTCACGATCTCAGGGTCCTAAGATCGAGCCCCACATTGGGCTGCTTCTCCCTCTGCCCAGCCCCACCTCATGTCCCCCCCACCAATAAATAAAACCTTAAAAAAAAAAAAGAAAGAAAGAAAAACAAGGTTAACATGAAAGACACAGTGAGCACTCACAGGGCTGTGGGCCGGCAGGGCTGAGGCAGAGGGCCGGGCAGCCGCCCCTCTGCCCCGCTGCCCCCCGCGCCTGGGCGGCCGCCCCTCTCCCCACTGCGCATATGCAGACTCGCTTGCCAAGTGGGTGCCCCGTGCTTCCTCTGAATGAGGAGTGCATAAGTCACAGGGACTTCCCTGACCCGAGTCTCCGCCTCAGGCCGGCTTCCTGCAGCGACGAGGCCTCGGCCTTCGCTCGTCCCCTCCCTGTCTCCCTGCTGCCCGCGCTGCCCCACCGCTGCAGGATTGCGGGGCAGGGACTGGTCTCCACCGGGGACATTCACCCAGAACAAGCCGCCCCTCTTCCTGAAACTAGGAGATGGAAGCCACCCAGCACAGGGCCCTCCCTGTCCTTCCCTCCAGACCCCAGTGAAAGGAGCCCGGGCACAGACCTTCTCTCTGCCTATGGGCCAGGGTCTCTTCCCCACAGCCTCCACCCCTCGGCCCCCAACCCTGGGCGGAAGCACGTCTGCGGGTCCCACGTCTGTGGAAGTACAATCCGTGGGCTTCTGTCCTGCTAATCTGTTTCAGTCAGTCCTGGCCAGAAACCCGAAGAGGCAGAGGAAAGTCTCCCTCCCCTCTCGGGGGACACGCAGGAGCCCAGAGGGCTGTAGGCTGCCTGTGAGCTGCCCTGCCAGGACGGGCTTTCCCTGCGTGTTCGCACAGTCCCTCTGTAGAAGATGTCTGAGTAGCGACGCGAGGTCCTCCATTTTGCCCCTTGGCCTCTAAGGCCCTGAGTGTTTACCTTCCGGCCCGTGACAGAAAATGCTTGCAGACCCTGACTAGCAGACCCTAGCTAGCAAGCAAGGGCTGCTGAGACGTTGGGGGCAACGTCCCAGGCCGGACGGAAAGGCCTGGACGTGCTGTGCCTCCAACTGGAGGGAGAGAGGGGCAGAAGGCAGGCCAGGTGGCTGCGGGGGCCACAGGAGGGACGCCCATCTGAGGCAGCCGGAGCTCGGGGGTCCCCATCCTGAAATCCCAGTAAGGTTACCTTGCGTCTGTGTTTTGTGCACCGGAGTATGATGGGACAAGGGAGCACGCCCCAGGGGCTTCCCCACTGCTCCCCACAAGACCCAGCAAGTACCCCCCGGGGCCAGGAGAGGGTCAGGACAGCGCCCGAGCCAGGGACTAACCAGGGGTCCTACTGAAGAGTTGGGAAAGGTGTTCACTACACCTTACCCAGGTCCCTTCCTCTCCCACTCAGTCATTCATCACTCAGAAAGCTGCTGAGGCCTGTGGGCTGACCCTGTGGGCCTGTGGGTTCCCTACCAGGATCTCAGGATCGTGGGGGAAGGGCTCCAGCCCCCTCCCCTCCACAGCACTGCACACAGAGAGGAAGCACCGGGGCGTGACCGTGTCCGGCGACCAAGAGGCCCCCGGCCTGCTCTGGACGAGGGCTAACTATGCAATCTGACACCTTCGGAGCCCCTGCCTCGCCCATCTTCCCTCCCAGCTCCCCAGTTTCTGCCCCCTCTCTGTGACTTTGCCCAGCTCCAACCTCCAGTCCCCAAGATGGAGGGCCTCCCCCAGACCACCCCACCCACCCCAGCCAGGCCTTTGAGCGATCCAATTAACACAGGGGCTGACAGAGGCCAGCGGCTAATAAGCTTGAGACAAATTATTGTTATTATTGTTGTTATTAGATCCCGCCCACCTCCTCTGGATGCCGGCCCACCAATTAGCCCCTCTCTTTCTTCCGCTGCCAATCTCCCCGCCTCCCCTCCCCCGTGCCAGCAACCAGACGCTCCCAGTACCTGCAGAGCAAGGGCTCCTCCTGCACCTATGCCCCAGGCCCTTCCCTTCCCTTCTCTGGGACACACACACACCCATCCCCCACCCCCACCCCGTCCTCCCCTCCCCTCCTCCCTCAGGGCTGAGCTGCGACTTCCACCTCCTCCTACCTCCCACCCATCTCCGGCCTCCCCCTGCCCAGCCTCCTGGTCATCAAATCCAGTGGCTCTTTTACCCCTGTGCTGGCAGGGGACAGAGTCCAGCACTCAGTCCCTTCCCCGTCCACCCTCCCCCGCCTCCCCATGCCCACCCCCTTCCAACGCCCCTTTCAAGTCCACCCCCCACATCACAGACCACTCATCCTCTTAAGTCACTCAATTCAAACAGCCCAGGTAAAGGTGGGCGCAGGCTCCGCAAAGACACTTCTCCGAAGAGAACACGAAGAGCTGACAGGCACTAACAAGAGGCTCGACGTCCCCCGCCGACAGAGAAACAGACCTCAACCACAGGAGGTCCCAGGAAAACACAAAACACCCAGTGCTGGCGAGGCTGTGGAGAAAATGGAACCCCGCGTTGCTGGAGGGGGTGTGAAATGGGGGGCTGGAGGGTGCGGCACAGAAGGACGCCAGGGTCCGGCAGCTCCACTCGGGGCCGCAAACCCAAGACAAACAGAACATGCTTGAGCAGAAATCCGCACACGCGTGTTCAGAGGCATAAATCACGACCGCCAAAACCTGGAAACGACACAACCGCCCAACAGCAGGTGAACCCCGACCGCTGGAGAGAACACTGTTCCATCACACAGGAGTGACGCACTGACACGCCACACAGCACAAGCCCTGAACACATCTCACCACGCGAGGTGCGGACACAGAGACCGTGTCACGCATGAAAAACAGCAAACCCGCAGAGACGATAGAAGTGAGTGACTCCCGAGGGCAGGGGAAGGGGAGCGAGTACAGTCTCCCTCTGGGATGACAATGTTCTGCGGGGATGGGGGCGCCTACTCCCAAGAGGGGGTCATGTGCTAGGAGACTCACGCCTCCATGAGCTGCTGGGGTTCCCTTCCCTGCCCCACCTGAACCCCCTGCTGCACCTGCCCAAATCCAAACCCAGCCCCCAGCCCCCTGCCCACCTCCCACCTGCAGCAGTCCTCCAGCTGCCCCAAGTCCTCTCCCCTCCCAAGGGCCCACCCCCGCACCGCCCAGCATCCCAGGACTGAGCTTCCTTCCTCCCCAGCCCGCACCGCCACCTGGAACCATCCGCCCAGCCCACGAGACTCACTGAGGGGAAGCAGCCTGGCCGGCCCTGGCGTCCTCGACTGGCTGGGGGCCACTCAGACCTCACACCCCTCTTCAGCCTGGGTGGTGACACTCCACAGCCCCACTGGCGGTGCAGGCAGGCCCTACGCTCTCCTCTCCAGCTCCCACCCACTCCCATTTTCTGTGGGTGGCTTCACCCTTCGCCCCAGGCCCAAATACCCATCCGTCCCCTCCTCTACCTCCCACCCAGGCCACCTCCCACACCCGCAGCTGATGCTGCCAGGCTCCCACCTGTTCTTCCAACGCTGAGAGCAAGTCGGCAACACCATCAGAACCGTAAGCCCTTTTTTGGGGGGCAAACGGGGGCCTCTGTCAACTTTCCCCACTTCCTCCACAATGGCAGTCTGCTCAGACTTCTTCCATCTTCCCGGAGTCGGCTGGGAAGGCCGCACTTCCCCAGAACGCAATCTGCGCCCGTTCGGGTTTCCCAACACACCGAAAGAGCTGACCAAAGCAGTCGCTTCTGATCCTGCTCCCCTGACCCCCAGCCCCGCTTTCTTCCTCTTTTCACTGACCAGCTGCCTCACAGTAAGCCTACCTCATGGCTTGCTCTCTCCCATCGGCCTCCCACCCAGCCACACAGGCCTCACCCTTGCCCTCGGCCGCTGTCCCCTATCCTCGGGGGCACCCGCCGGCCCCGCCTCCAACCCTGTGGGGCCCTCCCGGGGGTGCAGGCAGGCGGCAAACTCCAGAGGCCCTGGCCCCCATTCCCCACTATCTCCAAGATAAACCAGTACCGGGAGTTCCTAGAGCCTCCCTGTGCGCTTATGGCGGCAGGTGCGGCAGGAGCCCGGAGGCCACCTGCCACCGTCCGGGAACACCCAGCATCCAGTCTTCAGACACGTCCGTCAATGCTCCTCATTCCTTCGTCTGGACAAGTAACTGAAAACTGCTTAAACAAACAAAAATACTCTCTAGGGGGTTAAAAGGCCACGCTCCGTCTGTCACCCCTCAATCAGGCCAGACCCCCATTCTTGGGGGGTGTTTACGTCCTGCCACCTTGCCCGATCTCCCCAGTGAAAGTAGCAGCTCCCCCAGAAAGCCTTCCCAGACTTCTCCCTTCCCTCAGCTCAAGTGTCCTCTCCTTTCAAAGCACAGACTACACGTCAGACCCTCATACCCACTGCAATGGGTTCACAATCCCAAGCCCATACACCGTCAGAGAGGAGAGAACAAGCTCTCCGGGCAGGCTGCCAGAGTCCAACTCAGCC